TGGCCGGACAGAAGGTTCTATCGGGGAGTCAGATGGACTGTCTGGCAAAGCCGAGCACCCTGAGGCCACCCAGGGCGTCTCTCCGGCCCCAGGCACGCTGTGTTTCAAGCCCTCCCCCACGGAGCTGAGCTGCCAGGCGACCGCGTTCAACGGTGCAGGTGAGAAACTCCCTTCCCAGCCCTTGTGGAGCTCGAGTGGCCCAGAGCCAGGGCTCAGGCACTGACCCCTCCTGCCCCCTCCCTTCCCCAGAGCTCTGCAGGCAGGCGCTGCCCCCCGGTCTCTCCGGCCCCAGGCACGCTGTGTTTCAAGCCCTCCCCCACGGAGCTGAGCTGCCAGGCGACCGCGTTCAACGGTGCAGGTGAGAAACTCCCTTCCCAGCCCTTGTGGAGCTCGAGTGGCCCAGAGCCAGGGCTCAGGCACTGACCCCTCCTGCCCCCTCCCTTCCCCAGAGCTCTGCAGGCAGGCGCTGCCCCCCGGATACAGCGCCCACTTCGTCCCCCACGTGACGGCCATCGGCTTCGCCTGCACCGCGCTGTGCCCCGGGGGCGCGTTGGGCACCGCGGGCTGCAACGCAGGGCAGTGCCGGGTGTCCCGCGCTGGCGCCCAGTGCCAGTAAGTGTCCCCTGCCCTGGCTGCCGCCTCTCCAGGCCCCACTGCACGGCCGAGGGAGCCTGGGGAGAGGCTCGGGACCTGATCTCACCTGCCATACCTGCCCCGCAGCTGTCCGGAGAGCAGCCAATTCTGGTACCTGGGTACGAGTTGCCAGATGCAAATCGACCGGGTCGGCGGCACCGTCAGCCTTGTCATCGTGGCCTTTATGTTGCTCAACGTCGCCTTCCTGCTGGTGAGAGCCGGACCAGCCCCCTGCGTGTGTCAGGCACTGCAGCTGGGCCCCGGGGAGGTGGGGAGTGGGATGGGGGGGCTGCAGTTGGGCCCTGGCAAAGTGGAGAGTTGGGGAGGCTGCACCTGGGCCATGGGGAGTGAGTGGGCTGCAGCTGGGCCCTGGGCAGGTGGACAGTGTGGGGGGGCTGCAGCTGGCTTCCCCCTGTGGAGGTGGGGAGTGGGGGGGCTGCAGCTGGCTTCCCCCTGTGGAGGTGGGGAGTGGGGGGCTGCAGCTGG